AGTGTTAACACTGCTTGGAATTTTTTTTACTTTTGTTGAGAAAGACAGTGTAAGCTATGCTCTTCCTGCATATACACTCTGAAAAAATAACTCCATTTTAGACAATTCCTAAAAATCCACGCAGGCTTATCTTCATTAGACCGATCTTCCAGAAGTTTGTATGGTTCAGAAATAACTTCTCACACATGTGACATTTTCAACAGAAAAGCTGAATAAATCTGCAGAAAATGCCTCTTTATATTTTTGCAGGATTTTAGAACTGGCACTTGTTTCAGCCATCTAACCACTCCTCTCTAGTCACATCTTCTACATGAATATTGAAGACAAGGATTAACTTAATGCAGTAAAACCAGCTGAACTTAACAGCATTACTTCTCTCTCTAGTCTCCTGTCAACTACTTGTGTCAGCTACACTGAAACAAATATACAGAGCTGATGATTATTTATGAGGAACCATTCAAATGACTGAAAAGTCCCATTTACACAGAACTTAAGGTAACACAGGACTGGATTTACTTATTACATATCAATGAGAACACTAACTTGAAGTGTAAAAGTATAAACAGAGTATTAAGGTGTTTTCCAAAACGAACATATGACTAACTTGAAGCTTTCAAGTTCTAAAACTACTAAGTCAATGCTGTATTGAAGTCATGCAAGTAAGACTAGTATTAGAAAGGCAGTGTCATAACTTGACTAAAGCAGAGCTTACTACATCTTGAAGATGCATAAGTTTCAAAATCATTTCTCATAGCTGCACCATGCCAAAGTATTTTTTTGTTGTCCAAGCATGAATTAATTTAAGACTGGAAGACAAAAAATTTTCACAAAGTGATCATTTTCATGTCAAGGTATTAAAACTAGGTACACTGCAACACACTCAATGGACAAGTCTCCACTGACATAAAACTTCCTTGTGCAAATACTTTATTTTAAAAGGCTTCATTGTCCAGCTAATAAACACCTTCACAGATTTCAAACCTTGATACTTACATGGTGGTATAAACATGATCACATATTAAAACATTTTCATTTTTAAGAATACTGCTTTCACACTTTAAGGAGTTAAACCTTAAATCACCAGATTACTGCAGAAACTGAGCATCCAGAAATCAGGACAAGACACACACCTCATCTGCTGACTCCACATACACAAGCTTCCTCTAATCAGCAAGACTGAGAATTTTAAACTTGGAATAGGGTATTTGGGGCAAGAAACCTATCTGAGCAATTACTTCCTGAATAGATAGACATGAAAAGCAGTGGAAACTGAGCAGCATGCACAAGTCCAAAGTGGTTTGGTTACTTCAGAAAGAAGTAATGATGTCAAAGGCATCTATGTATTTTCAACTTCTTGCTAGAGGACAGAGTAATATGGAAAGACAGCACTGCAATACCCGGTGTTCAACACTTTAGGAACGACCCATTTAGCTTCATATTCCATTTGAATTTGAAGTAAGAAGAGCAAGGGCAGCCTTGACCCATATTTTCCCACCACAAAAGGACTCTATTCTACTTTAAAGTACTATATAGGGCCTGGGAGCTTAAGGCAGCAAAGTAAGTCATTTGAATTTATAGCATTAGTCCCCTGTAAGCTTGTTTGAGAACTAAACCCATCAACATTGGAACTACAAGTGCAGTTTACTACTATGCAGCTCATTTACCAATTCAAGATATGTTGAATGCTCCACATCCAGATTTTAGTGAGTCTTAGAGAGCCAGTTACATCTTTCCCAAACAACCCATCTCAGCTTCTTTGAAGCAGTTATTCGGGTGAGTTTCCTTCAGGTAAGCTCTTCAGGAAGCTCAAGAGATGCTTTATTTCATTGCTGTGTGTCACACAGTAAGTGATTCACTAAGAAGGCTACAAGCTGACCACTGTTACACTCACCAATGTGGACACCCCAAGATAAATGGACACGTATTAAGATTCCATAGGTGATGAATGATTAAAGCTCTGCCTGTAAGCTCATTTGTTGCTCTTATATTTGACAAGTTCTGGATGGAAAAACTTAGGCTAAAAATGCACCCCATTATCATTTAGAAAATGCAGAGTTTCAATATAGTAAGAAGCATTACAAAAGGAAGCTGCTGAATCCTTCATGTAATTTGCATTCTCAAAGCAAGCTTATCCTGAAAAAGTCTGAACTTCCATCCAGATTTTTTGAAACTCAAGATCCATTTCTTCCCAACAAATTAACGAAGAAACTGCAAACAAAAATCCACCTCAGTTTAATAGAAAAGCAATTATATAAACTTTGAAAAAAAAAAAAAACAACAAAACAAACATTCAAAAATTTCAGCAAATACATACTGTCAGTAACAAATCCAATACATACAAACAAGAAGCCAAATACAAAAAAAATCCGTCTGGTTACAGCGAATTACATGACATTTTTTTCAAAAAAAACCCCTTAGAAATTAAAAATTTCATGGATCAGTGAAGGAGAAATTCCTTAAAGCTACAAGGGTGTTTCAGCCTCTATCCCCACCAACCTCAACAGGCCGGGACAAGTGCAATACCACAGACACACACAGCATTGCAACTGATCCCAACCTGTGTAGAAAGGGGTATAATTTTTCCACACTCACTGACTGACTTGTCACTGCCACAGTCAGTTTTGCATGGATTTGCACAGCAGAGTATCATACAGCTGGATGCAAACCTGCAAAACTAACCAGAGAACAGTGTTCAATAAACAACAAATAAATTGTAAGACATACTTAACGTGTAGTTCTACAGCTAGCAGTACTTTAAGTGCTTATAATGCAGTAGATTAGTGAACACTACCTGCACTATAAGCACTTTAGTGCTACAAGAGCTGTCATTCACTAGACTGCTGTTAAAATAAGGAAGGCCACAAAATATCCCATAACCAGCAGAAAGCATTCAAGTCCTTGATGTAGATTATAACAGGCCACCATCAGCTTTGCATAGATTTGCACAACCACTCTCTTCTTGTAGTGCAACTATGCAAAACTAACAGAAGTCTGCAGAGCAGAAAACTACTGGAACATCTACAGTCTTAACCTGAGTGACTGGATGAAGACATAACTTCTTATGCCAGAAGGAGCACTTAGGGCAGTAGATGCTAATCTACTTCACTATCTGCACTAGATGCACCTTAGTACAAAAAGCACTTGACACCACCACACTGTACCTTTCCATTCTCTGAAGTCCTGCAAGATCTCCTGAGGCAGTTGTCAACATAATGCTACAAGTGCCTTCACTGCAGTAGGTTCTATATATCACTACCTGCACTGTAAGCACTTTGACATTACTCTGACGCAAACAGCGTTTTTTCAGTAATTCAAGATATGTTGTCTACCTCGTACCTGCTGAAAGAAAAGAACAAAGTGAGTATTTGATCAGGTTTCAAATTACAAGCTTTGGAACAAATATTCACATTTCTGGGCTAAAGATCTCCCTCAGAGTAAACTGAAGCAACCATCAGACCAATCCAGGACACTCCCACGCAATACTAAGCAGTATCATGAAAATTAAATAAATGCTTCTCTAACAACAATTTGAAGAATTAAAAATACCTGACTTTTCAAAGGCAAACCTGAATTTGGAGATGAGCTCCAGCCAAATCTCTTTAATTAAAGAAGTTTACACCCAAATTCCAGAAAACCAGGAATTTAAAAACTAGATTCAATATATCCTACCACTGGCTTTCTGATGTCCAGAAACCACCTTATGACGTGGCAGGTATTTTTCTAAGTTTTCCAATCACTCATTTTGCTGTCCAGTTAAGAATATTTGCTGCTACTGCCACAGACATCCTGTCTCAAATTACAATTTCTACCATGGCATTTAGATTAGTCTATCTAGCACCAAAAAGCAGGTTCTAATGGCATCTGTAAAATATATTACCACAACAAACTTACAACATATTAGACTTGAGGTTCAGTAATGCAGGACAGTACTATACTCGAAATTTGAGAACATATTTAATTCCTTCTTTAACACGAACATAGACTTGAAGGAACACGTAAATATAATGTCTCACTTACATGATACTTACAGCCAATTTAACATGCTTTAAAACTACAATAAAACTAGCTTCTGTTAGACTGAGTTAAAAAAAAAAATAGGAGCTTAGTTAAAATAAAGAAGCAAAATCAAAGATACCAAATCTAAAGATTTTTTTAACTTTCTCCCTGTCAAACTGCTTTAGTCAAACAAATGATTGCTTGGGAAACTTAAATTATTCTGCTCTAAATGAGTGAAATCATGGACTGCTACACATGCATCCAATCCCAAGGAACTATTTGGAATTTAGTGGTCCTAACTGAAGTCTAAGCCTGAGCCTCAAAATAACTGCTTCTGCCCCATACGTAAAAAAAAAATTATTAAAAAATAAAAACTTACCATCACCCGTTGAAACTAACTTCCTCTGCAAACACACCGCTGCAACATCCACAGAAAGCTTCATTACGTCCAGCTGCATGCGGGGATACTGCGAAAAAAACCACCCAGTTACTTGCATTTTGTGGCTGAGGAATGAACAAAGTCACCGAGGAACTTGCCAAACCCAGCGCTCCCCATCCCCAATCCACCCCTCGCGGGAGGGCGCGAAACGCTCCGTATCCCCTCGGGCGGCCATGAACCGCCCGTGCGACAGACCGCACGCGGGCTCACACTTGTCCCCGGTGAGTGGATCCCCTGTGCGCCCAGGCAGGATCGCGCCCACGCTGCCGGCCGTGCCGTGGGCCCGAGCCGGGCCGGGGCCGGGCCCGCTCCCGCACCGCGCAGCACGTGCTCGCCGAGAACACAGGGCCGGCCGCCAGGGGGCGCCGCCGCCGGCAGCGCGGAGGTCACAGCCCGGCTACAGCGTGACGCCCCCCCCGCGCGCCCGCCCGGGCCCCGCAGCCCGGGCGGACGCGAAAGGGTCGGGCCCGCCCGCGCCCGGGGGCCGCCCGGGCCGGGAAGGGGCCGTGGCGGGGGGAGGGGAAGCGGCTCCCCGGGCCGCCGCTGCCCACACGCGGCTCCGGGCCTAACAGGGAACAATCGGCCTCAGCACGCAGCCGCCGCCATGTCCCCCGCCTCCTCCCCCTTCCCAGCAACATGGCGCCGCCGAGGGCCCGCAGCTGCCGCCGCCGCGCCGATTTCGTAATGAAGCTCGCGGCTCCCGAGCGGCGGCGCGGGGCGCGCCCGCTGTCCCCCGTCCGCCTGCCCGGGACAAGCGGGAGGTCCCACACGCCTCTTTTACCGCCGCTGCCGTTCCCGAGCTGGGCGTGGGCGGCGAGCGGAGCCCCCGCGCCGCCGCCGCGGCCTCTGCCCCACGTGCGGCTTTGTTCTGGCGCCGCCAGCTCCCCCCCGCAGCCGCGCCGGGCACGGCGCAAACTTTCCCGGACGGGCCTTCCCCCCGCGGGCCGCGGGGGCAGAACCCCCGCCCGCGCCCACCCCCGGCCGCCACTGCCATTGTGCCGCGCACGCCGCCCTGCCCTGCCCGTCCCGGGGGCTCGGCCGCTCCCAACGCCCCCCTGGCCCGGCGAGGCGCCCCGGGCCCGGAGCGCGGCG